AAAAAGTTTTGGTACGCAATTTTTTTGGAGTAGATAGAAATAAGCCACAGGAAAAAATATTACTCACTAAAAGAAAGACAAAAAAATATTGATAGTAAAAAAATAAATCGACGCCTGAGAGATGGAGCCGCGTCGAGCTCGGGTGAGAAGGTGATCCGTCATTCTTTTCTTCAGTGGCTGCTATGGTGGTGTCGGAGACAGGTGACGGGCGTTGGTGTCAAACTCAGAGATATTCTGTTATCTTTTCAGTTTTGTCATGTCGGTCGTTACGTGACTTGTATTTTGATCTTTATGATATATGAATGAGACACGTATTACCATATAAAAAAATTGGTGCGCATTTTTTTTGGAGTAGATAGAAATAAGCCATAGGAAAAAAATATTACTCACTAAAAGAAAGACAAAAAAATATTGGTAGTAAAAAAATAAATCGACACCTCAAACTCAGAGATATTCTGTTATCTTTTCAGTTTTGTCATGTCGGTCATTACGTGACTTGTATTTTGATCTTTATGATATATGAATGAGACACGTATTACCATGTAAAAAAATTGGTGCGCAATTTTTTTTGGAGTAGATAGAAATAAGCCACAGGAAAAAAATATTACTCAATAAAAGAAAGACAAAAAATATTGGAAGTAAAAAAATAAATCGACGCCTCAAACTCAGAGATATTCTGTTATCTTTTCAGTTTTGTCATGTCGGTCGTACGTGACTTATATTTTGATCTTTATGATATATGAATGAGACACGTATTACCATGTAAAAAAAATTAGTGCGCATTTTTTTTGGAGTAGATAGAAATAAGCCACAGGAAAAAAATATTACTCACTAAAAGAAAGACAAAAAAATATTGGTAGTAAAAAAAATAAATCGACACCTCAAACTCAGAGATATTCTGTTATCTTTTCAGTTTTGTCATGTCGGTCATTACGTGACTTGTATTTTGATCTTTATGATATATGAATGAGACACGTATTACCATGTAAAAAAATTGGTGCGCAATTTTTTTTGGAGTAGATAGAAATAAGCCACAGGAAAAAAATATTACTCAATAAAAGAAAGACAAAAAAATATTGGTAGTAAAAAAATAAATCGACGCCTCAAACTCAGAGATATTCTGTTATCTTTTCAGTTTTGTCATGTCGGTCATTACGTGACTTATATTTTGATCTTTATGATATATGAATGAGACACGTATTACCATGTAAAAAAATTGGTGCGCAATTTTTTTGGAGTAGATAGAAGAAAAAATATTACTCATACTCACTAAAAGAAAGACAAAAAAATATTGGTAGTAAAAAATAAATCGACGCCTGAGAGATTCGAACTCTCGCGGGGAAACCCCATGTACTTAGCAGGCACACGCCTTAACCACTCGGCCAAAGCGTCCTTTCTAATTTTGTAGCTACTTTACATTTTATAAATGAATTTGACATCCAACCCGATTCGTTCCCGGAAACCCTCCACCAGCCAGGACACAGCAATCAGAGCATGGACAGCGGCGGCGGGAGGAGCCTCCGGCCCGGACGAGCCTCGCGACGCGCGCGTGGTGCGGGAGCTCCTCCGGTCGATGGGGCTCGGCGAGGGCGAGTACGAGCCGCGCGTCGTGCACCAGTTCCTGGACCTGGCCTACCGCTACGTCGGCGACGTGCTCGGCGACGCCCAGGTCTACGCCGACCACGCAGCCAAACCCCAGCTCGACGCCGACGACGTCCGCCTCGCCATCCAGGCCAAGGTCAACTTCTCCTTCTCCCAGCCGCCGCCACGCGAGGTAAGAGTACTACTACCAATCTCACCAAAAACCCTAGTATATCTTCGTTAGATTCGGACAAATTACGAGGTTTCGTAGCTTCATTCAATTGGTGAATGACGAGGACAAGGGTGCGCTTTAAACTCTAGATCCAGGACCGGCTTTCCTGTGAACCTATCAGATTCGGAGAGAGTAATGTTATGGACTCCAATTGGGGAAAGGATAAGCACTGTAGAGGATGTGCAGATGCGTCCCGGAAGAAACAATCGAGATACTACTCCCTCCAATTGGAGTACGAAAAATATCTGGTTCTTGGCTGAAATCTCAACGGCTAAGAGTGCGAAAAATGATGTGTGCTGTTGAGATTTCAGTTAATTTCTGGTTCTTGGCTGGGAGATATTTTTTGGGGAAAATTTGAATTTCAAATAAGGCTCAACTTCTCAATTAAATGCGTTCCACAATAAGAACACATCAATCAAAGATTCAGACATGGTGTTTAGAAGCCACCATCCCCAACGCAACACAGAGATTGTGGTTTTTAGCCCTTGAGCTCATGAAATGTCGTTTTTTCTACACTCTTAGCCATCAGAGGGACCAACATATCAGGCAGTGTTATACTGAAATTATAATGAAAAAAATTGGAGCAAATGTGGGATTCGAACCCAGATTCATCTCAAGTAGTACATTACCAGTACCACCTTACCACTAGGACCAAGATGACTCCTTTATCCTTTAGGAAGTTGGAACTGACAGAACTTTTGCCAGTTTGGTGGGATATAATCAGGGAGTTCCGAGATTTAAATCCCAGGGTGCAGCTAGTAGCAGAAACGAATACCTTCTCGATGTAAGGAAAATCCTATTCTTATTTTAGATTGTACCTGCTCTGATGATTTTAGCAACCGTCACTACAATGAATCGGTACATACTCCCTCCGTTCCTAATTACTTGTCGCAGGTATGGATGTATCTAGATGTATTTTAGTTCTAGATACATCCATTTCTGCGACAATTAATTTGGAACGGAGGGAGTAAAACTTTTTGTAGAACCTGTACGTTTGAATAGCATTGCTCAGGTAAGATCAATACCACCAATAGGTGGGAGAAGTTAGAAGTGA